AATAATTCCGTCGGGTCCTGCCGCTTTGCCTCGTTTCAAATTACAGATAGCTTTGGTGACCTCACTTACAGACGGCGGACCAGTGTGTATATCCCATTCGGGTGTGTGCTGGATGGCGGGGAGGCTCAGTGTGGCTGTAGGCAAGTTAAATTGTTCCTCAAAGTGTTCTTTCCAGCGTTCAAGGCGTCTATCCTGAGAGCTAATTAAGGAGCCATCTTTCTCAGAAATAGTCTCACTTATGATTTGCCTTCTCCCACCCGTTTCCCTGATGAGTCTAAAGAGTTGCCTAGTGTTGCCTATCGCCGATGCTTTTTCCATCTCTTTCGCCTTTGTCAACCACCACTGTTCACGGTCCTTGCGGAGACTTTTCGTAAGTTTCCTTTTGTGCAGCTTTCGCTCCTCATTGAATTCGGAGCTCGCCGGAATAAGTCTTCTAGCATCTATCAGTTCGGATGAGGCAGTCGAAATCCAATGGTTTTTACTCACCTTTGGATTATCCTTATTCACAGCTTTTACAGCTGTATCTATGGCTGATTGAATATTCTTCCAGGCTTCTTCAGGGTGAGCGCAGCTGTCGAACTCAGATATGTGTTTAGCTAGTTCTTCCTCAAATAGGGACTTAGTTTCCTGATCGAGCTGGGGACGTGATGGGTTTACCGCTAGCTGTTTCCTACGTCCGTTCAGTCGTAAGCACACACGAGCGCGGACCAGTGCGTGATCGGTATCTACACACGTGTTCCAGAAGGAGCGACAATCTCCTACCGACCCACGCCAACGATAGCTTATTGCTATGTGGTCTATTTGTGTCCAGCGTTGGTTTGATGATGGGGGTCGCCAGGTCAAACAGTGTCTCTCCTTGTGTTTGAAGTTAGTGCTTACAAGAAACAAATGATTATCTGAACAGAACTGTAGGAGACGGTCACCGTTGTCTGTTCGCTGGCACGGAACTCCATAGGTGCCACCGACATCCTTCTCAGATTGACACAATTTCCCTACTTGAGCATTAAAGTCACCAGCTAAAACGACTATATCTGAGCGTTTAGCCTTTCGCAGCAAACTAGACAGCTTTTGGTAGAACTCATCCTTCGTTTCATCCGAACTGCAGTCAGTGGGGGCGTAGGCGGAGATTATGAAAAGGCATCGGCGAGTAGTGCAGTCCTTTCTCCTTTTTACTGATCCGTTCAGACGGACAGCACACATTCGGCTATCTACCGGGGTCTTTTCTGCCCTAGTACTCAAAGCTATCCCAACACCAGCTAATCCTCGTGAGCTAGCTGTGGCATCTCCTGACACCCTCAAGGTGAATTTTGCAGATTCATCCTGTTGGCCAGGTGGGATTAGGTGAATAACCACACTTGGGTCTTGTATGCGTGTTTCTGAAACACAACATACATCAATGGCTCGGGATGCCAGAGTCTTGGCTAGTGATGCTTGTTGTCCTATTTGGCAAAGTGTCCTAACATTAAATGCTCCTATATGAAATTGGTGGCGTGGCTTTAGGAGACTATCGGTGGTGGTTTTTTGGCTTCCGTCGTTTTCAGTGCACACAGAGTGAAGAGAAAGTGAAGAGCCATCAAGTAGAGGAGTTGCGTTAGTAGAAGGAAGGCAAGATAATAGAGATGAAGATGAAGACAAAGATGAGTGAGGACTAGAGAGGTTTCGCGTGCATTTCGGATTGTGAGGGCGATTGTTGCTTCCCTGCTGCCCACACCGTGGGAGTTGGTTGCGTGACCGCAGTGCCCAGGGGACAAATGCTTGAGGCCGGTCACACGCGGCTTGTTTTTGTTTGTTCTTTTTCATTTGGTGTGTCTCAGTAGCATATTTATTACTTCTGCCCTGTGACACGACAGCAGGAAGCGAGGTCGTTGTTAATCCGGGCCCCGACCGATCCGGCATGATATTTTGTGATTATGTTTGAGTCATAGCGTGGGATTGAGTAACTGCTTTTTGTCTAACCGCTATCCAAACAACCTTTCTGGCATGGTAGGACCTCAAATGATATAAGTCTCAGCCAGTATAGCTTGTTGGGTCATTGCGGTGTTCAAGCCCAACCACCACGTCAAGGTAGCAGCTTTCGGTCGAGCGTGATCTAAGCATGGATGCAAAAGTCTCGTCTGGTAATTGCCAACATACGTCATCATTGGTTTAGAGGTGATATCACGTTGTCCATCAAAGGACGCGTGTAATGTGTAGCACTTGACTCTCTTCTTCTTTATAGTAGTGAGTCATAGCCATTGAAACTGGAAAATATGAGTGGGCTGACTTTATTTGACCACAGGTGTTTGGTTTCTATCGGCTGTTTTAAGTGGATAATATAATGAGTGATATTGTTGTGCGGAACAGACACCTAGGTGGAGAGGGAAGGTCAACCCATGAGGTGGTAAAACCACAACGACTGAGAAGGCCAATAATAATAATAATTTGCTTTATTCCAAAAACAGTACTCATGATACAGCAGGGAAATTTCAGCATTCAGTAGAACATGTGTTGCGCATGCCAAGCCAATAAAATTACCCATCAAGCAATGTCGACTGACATAGAATTAGCTTAGAAGAGAGTTAGCTGGAATCGAATCAAACCCATGAAGATTTTGTGCTGGATGGTTTGTGACACGTAGGGAGATGTGTACCCTACGTGTTTAGAGATGTCGGTTTGCCGACAGCCAAATACTGGGGACTGTGTGGTGATGTGGCTGTCATTTAAGGTTCTATCTGTAGGACGATATCACTGCAGTATTTATATTTCAAAGGAGGATAGCGTTGCCTATAAGCTTATTATTAATGGACAGAGTCAGGGATTTCTTTTCTGTGGTGACGCATATTATCCGATGAAGTTATGTGTACAGATTTCAACAGTCGAAATCCCTATTTCACTTAGACTGGAAAATAAATGAATTTGTTTCTAACTATTATTTCGTCATTAGTCTTGCGTTAACTGACATTTGAATAGTCAGACAATTATTATTATTGTCATTATTTTTATTATTATTGTCATTACTGTACTGTCACAATCCTGTCCACAAATTCTCTCTGCCAACTGTCGTCAACACCCTTTGAGAAGGCTACAAATTTGCTCTGTCATATACACGGTGTGATCATCAATAGTCAATAAAACTGTGGCTTAAACCAACTGCTGAACCAGACATTGCTTTGACAGCTAATGACAGATATTTGTCTGTGTGTTGAGTAGCAGATCACTCACTCAGGTTGACTTGAAGGCTTATAAATACTCACGCGTCTTCATCAGTCAGTCAGTCAGTGATTCAGTTGTCAGTCAGTCAGTAGTTGTTCCACTGAGTAGTTAATTTCACCAATTATAATGTTCGTGGCTAAGATGGTAAGTGGAAATGTTCATCAATGTGAAGTAATGAATCTTTTGTTTTTCGAAAAATCTAGATACTTTGCATTTGTATATGTGTATGCATTGCTGCTGTCCGCGCTGATGATGTGGAGACGCCAGGTAAATCTGCACGATGTATTGTTGCTTATTGTTATCGTAACTTTACTGTATTGCTATGTTTTCATTCGTGTTGATTCTACTTGACTTGAGTAAAGAGTAGAAACGGATGAAGAGGAGAGACATCTTTGCGGTATGCGGGGATCGGACTTGAACGACGTGTATTGTGGATGGACAGCATTGTACTATTTAACCACTGACACAATCACCAGACAACGCTGGACCTATGTTTTTGCTTGTTGGCACTCGCCAGCTAGATATATCTGCAAGATTGAAGGAAGTCAGATGAGCTATGCGATTTGAAGTCACATCAAGCAATCTTGTTACTTGGGGCTGAAGATACTTATTTTACCATAATAGTTGTCGTGAAATTGGGATATACTGCCCATACTCTGAGGACACCTTGAAGTGACATCACACACCAGGTCTACAAATGCAACCCCAATGGCAAGCGACGGCTTGTTCGATCATGTGTAGTGGAAATGTAAGCTTGCTGTTAGTCGTGAATCCAGATGAAATGGATGGCGGAGAACTGAGTGCGATGGATGTGCGCAGCTGGAGGCCTATGCTCCACCTGGAAAGCGAGGACTGAATAACAGATGGGTTAATTTTTCGGGAAGAATATTGATTATTCTTGTTTCTACAGTGAAAATAATGTGTGACGGAATAATTGTTTGGGAAATCCCCTCCTGAATGATCTTATTATAGCATTGATACTTATTCGGATGCTTCGACTAACTGTGTAATTACCTTCCTCTCTTCTGCTGGGCCACATACTTTTGTCCTGACACTTGTACATCATATGTTGGCTGGATCCTTATTATTTGTCTTCTCACGTGCTCAGTCTCATGTTTATTGCTTTGCTGTTAGGTTGTGCGATACATTGATAATGTGTTGGTTTATTGTGTGATTTTGTCTGAGTGAATCAAGTTGATTGTGACTTTGTACTATGTGTGTGGTGGATTTCTTTTTTGTGTGTGAATCTTGTGGACAGAGAAATTGTCTCCATGTTGTCGAGAATAATCTCCTTGATTCTGCATACTTGAATGCCCTATTGACTGTATAGCTGCCTAAGGGCACTGTTAATAATGATATGATTTCCGTTTTTTCTTGCGTTTTGTGATTGTGCGTCTCTCAGGGAAATTTCGGTCAGCTATATATTAGACTGCAGAGGTCGTTTCACTGCGTTCAGACAACAACGAGTCAGTTTTGTTAGTTGCATAATATAGGGCAATGAATTGTTGATATCGTATCAACGATTGCAACACTTTTCTTCACAGAGCAGTGCCAATACACAATTTCCCATTTTCGAAATCCACTCCTAATCACACCACCGTGTACTGAATTTTTCTTGTGAAGAAGGACTGCTTTGCAGATTTCACACAATATAAGAAATCCACTTTATATTTCCTGATTTCATGTGGATATTAGAAATATAGTTCTCTCAACAGCTCCCTACACCCTTGTTCATTTTATTGTTTGAAAAACTAATTTTGCGCCTGAATTAATAACTTTTATTTCTCTTTTGATAATCTAAATTGCAGAGAATCCCAACAACAACCATACAGATGTCACCTTTGAGACGGTACCAGAAGGCGCTACACAATATGTGAAGTCCATACCACAACAAGGAGTATTTGTGCTAAATTTAGTTCAAAAAGTAATAGTTGATGATGTCTACGAGGAGGAAGAAGAATCGAAATAACCACCCAACATCCATTGTGCAAATAGTTCATTTTCAATTTTAGTTATTCTTAGTCTCTAAAATATTATCACTTTTTCTACACAATAGCGTTTACTTATTATTATGATCGGTGTTCAGTGGGACTAACTGTGTATATGAGACTTGGATTGATGGGTTGATATTTATGTAGTGCAAGGGATGATGAGAGATGTCATGGAAATTTGAGCTGTGGGGTGACTGAAGCCAATGGTTTTCGGATCATCATCATCATCATCGTGTTTCGACAGGCTGATGTAAGAAAAGCGTCCTTTCGCGAGGTTTTGATTTCACCCTTTCTCTTGATATTTGCAAGAAGCAATTATTAGTGAATGAAATTAAATAACTCACTCTCTGCGCTCCTATCTGTAGGATCTTCCGAAAAAATTTCGTTGTTCCTTTCGGGAAATCGTAGTTGATAATTATTTCCATGTTTATCAACCTGATACCTTTAATAATGTGATCCAAATTTGCGTCGTTAATGAGTAAGCTTCAGCGAATTGAGTTGTTAAAATACCTCCGTATAACGACATACTCTCTACTAACATTTCGTCTAAAATAGAAGACAGTTATATGATGGTAGGTTAAGAACACAGTATGATAGCAGAATGAAGTGTGATGCGTCTTCTGTAGTGTTGAGTAATGGGAGTTAAATTGCACAGAATTTGAAACGTTTTGATGATAATGATTTGTCAGTATTGAGTGGGAATTAACAGAATCAAGCTTCCCTCATTAATCTCTCCCTCCTTTCTCCCTTTTACTTCATATTCTCAGACTCTCAATTAGCGCTATCCTAATGTATGGTAGTGTATAACTTCATGTAGTGCTGTAGTCAAGCCTCATTGTAGATTGCATATCGTAGTTGGCTGCACTAGTTTAGATTTCTCCAATCTCTTGTGCTGTGGTAATACTTACTACTGACCCCGGACAAATATTTTCACATAGTAATCAGTGCAAGATATTTGATGCTCTAAATGATTTCATTGAATGGATTCTATCGGATCCTTCAATGGAGACGATTTGTTTCCTAGTGCGTTTGTGGGTGGATAAAGCCCACTCTTACTCCTGCCTTGTTATGATTCCTCAGTGAGGATTCAGCGGTTCCCTATGTGTATGGCAGCACCACCAATGTTTGGAATTCCCTCTCCTTAGTGTTCTCATGATTATGTGAATGCTTGTCATGGATGTTAGTTAGTCTTTTAATCGCTTAGGACTAGTCTGCACCGACTTTTATTTTAAGAAAAAGAAGTGAAATGGTTGAACGTGTTGACTACTTAACTTATTTCTAGATTTGTATCAACCTGAATTAACCGCTCGTTGATGAAAACTCAGGGTGGATTCAAAAGCCTCATTTCGTATTTGCCAACTTTCACCATCTTTGGACTCTGGTGTGATATTTGGATATCCAGCGAAATAGGTGTCTACTCTGCTTTCAGTTTCTTGTACAAGTGAAGCAATATGTCCAGGAACAAAGAGGTTAAGAAGGCGAAGTTCATCCATGATTTCGTAAAGATGCATCGATTGAAGTGGCTAGGAAATATGTGGCCTATGCCCGGTCACTGGTTTTCTCAATGAGAAACGTTAACTGATATTGTATTACGTTGGAAAAGAGTAAAAAGACTTCAGACTAAGGCAATGGCACCGATCAATGAAGTCTTTAGCTGCTCAAATGGACCACGTGAAGAGGTATACACTAACACACTAGAGTCCTCTGAATACTGAGAATCGATGGCTGAAGGCTGTTTCTGACGTGGTGCTAAACTGTTTTCAATAGGACAAATACATTCGCATCTTATGACTTTCCAAATTCGTTAAAGATACTGTTCGCTGTATGCGTGAGTGCTACTTCCTCCAAGCATTATACGGTTCATCAACATTGTCAAGTAGAGATTTCCACACTTGGTAAGATCACCGTTAAATCAATTCATTTTAAGTATCTCATGAAGTTAGTTCCCTTCATTAAACTTGAGTATGTTAGTAGTTCTTATCGGTTGCATTTAGTATCTACAAGAAACCTTTACCACTGTTAAGTAGTTTAGTCATCAGTGATGACGTAAACCTAAGCAGACGTATTTATTGGTTGGTATACAATTTTATGAATAAGGTCTGGAGGATGAAACATCAATAACATAATCGCACAAACAGATATCAACTAGACGACGATTTGATGTTAAGGAAACAATGGATAGCTTCTTCGAATCACTCGAAGACTAAAAGTTTTGTTTGCCAACAAGCTACAAGTCATTAGGAGACCATGTTACAATCATCAATATATTGGGTGGGAATCCAAGATCCCTGATTTCATCTACTGGGTAACCAAATTTTCATCCATCCTATTCTCTCTAGTTCATACTGCTCACAACCGGACTGGTGAATAGACAGGTTTATCCAGGGAGGAGTCTGAGAACTCTGATTCCGCATTAATTAAGTACATGTGACACAGATTCCGAAAGGATCCAGTGGAGTATGGAACCCTTCATCGGTCACCATATACCACGGAAATGTAGCGCCTGTCGCTGTTCGGTGAGGGGGAATAGCTCCTTAAGACAACCGCCTGCTGTGCTTGGGGTGTGACGACATTATTCCAGGTAGCACACAAACTATGAGAATTTGTTTGTCGTGTCTTTTGGTGCTCACAATACACAAAGTTGGTTATTTGATAATAATTACTATTGATATTATATAATTTTGAACCATAAATCTATACTCATGACTGTTGTCGAATACGTTTCAACCTACACTGTGGCCATTTGAAGGGAACGAAGAAGATACGTAGCATGTGATTGGAGCACGCTTTGCGCAGAACAATCAATATTCCTTCAAATGATATACATACCCAGTTATTCATTTCCTTCAATATTCTAAACAAGAAGTAACTGCGTTGCAACAGAATATCATGAGAATTCTGTAATATGTACTGAAACATTTTTCAGAAAAAATTTCTCCTGCTTTTTCTTCTTCTTATTATTATTATCAATTTCGACTTTTATCAGTCAGCGATAAAGCTATCGAAAGTGGAAGATATGAAAGCGCTAGCTGTCTTGTGACCACAGATGTTTCGTTCTATCTCCCCTGTTAAGTGATATAATATGGTGAGTAATATTGTGGTTAGGTGTAAAGTGATAGGTAAGGAGAGAAAGTCAATCGGTGAGGTTGTTAAGCTGACTGACTGGTTTCAACGTAGAACTTTGCACAGATGTACGGCAGTTCGGAGTTGACACTCTCTCTTCATGTAGCACACAAAGCAACAGAAGAGAGTAAAAAAAGATACAAGGCTGAGAGGTAATAAACAGAATTGTGAGGCGAAAATAATAGTAGTATGCAAGAACAGTAGAATTTTATTGGATATTATAAATCACAAAGTGTGAATGCATCCGCGACACCTATTGAGAACGATCATTTTGAGCCATATCACCAATGGTGTCCAGACATCATTCGTTATCACCATCCCGAGGATCTCAAGAAGGAAGGCAGTCCACACCTCCGTAGGTGACTGGCTTAAACTAAATGTTGTGAATTCATTCATGGACTGAAGAAGCCATATTTTAGCTTAACCAACTCCCGTGTTGCAATGTGATCACCCTTAAGCTCAATCCTAGCAGAATTTTTCCTAGCAAAACTAGAGAACGGTCCTCTTACAGATGTAATATATAATGTCGATTTCTACTGCTGTTACGTCGATGATACATTCAGTAGAGCACATCCTGGCATAAGCATCACCAGAAGAAGAAGAAGAAGGAAATGACTCTGTCTCCATTTTGGACGTTCCAATGTCTAAACGAACAGACGAAACAATATGTAGGCATTTGCACAGAAAACTCACTTCAAATGGACAATATACTCACTTCCTGAGCTTCATACCTCTCTCTACATTACAAACGTATTCTGGTCAGATGACTGGTTCACCGGGCTAGAGTTATCCGTTCAAATGGGACGCTGAACGAGAATCTCGGTAATATTCGCGATCTACTGAGTAGAAACGGATATCCAACTAAATTCGTGAACAAAGAAGTGAAGACAGAAATTAAAATGTCGAAGGTGCCGACTGTTCCGAAAAATCAGTCTTCCTAAGGTGACAATTCATGGGTGATGTCAATAGCGAGATCTTATCACAGCGTCTGCGAAGGGCCTTCAAAAGGACATTCAACGCAGCTAAGCTATGCTGTATATTCACTAGCCGACCAATATTTAATTCAAGAAATAAAGACAGACTGACTCGTTTCGCCTCTTCCACATGTATTTACCAGTTTAGTTGCCCGTGCGGAGCTAGTTAAATAGGGCGTACGATCAATCAAGTTCATTGTCGAATTTCTGAACACCTGCCATCTGCGTTTGGCGAAGGTCCGAATAAAGCTATACGCAACTCAATACCATCTCATCTCGTCGATATCGGACATCAAGTTGACTCTAACAAATCTTATGCAATTATTTATCGTATATCAGCCAACCTCCAACATGGTCTACGAGTACGACACTTGCATACACCAGAGGCAATCGGAATTCATCTGAGCAAGCTAAATATGTGTTCAAAAGAAATTTGTACAGCCCCTTTCTTTGCCATCACCAACTACTTGATATGTATTAGGTTTAGAAAGACGATTTTTCCCCTCCCCTTTTAACTATCTTTTGACTTTGTTAACTTTCACAATTCTAGCTAACTCTATGAACTTGTTTGCATTCAACGTAATTCTTCCGAGTCATCCTATTCTTCTTAGTCATCATTATTTTACAAAATTCTTGATTATGTGACGCCTAAGAATCCACTTATCTTGAATTCCGTAATTAATTTTCACCCCTCCTTCAAAACTTAGATATCTTATCACTAACGTCTATTCGTTAATTGTTTTGATGACCTTCAACCTCTTAATTCAAGCCCTCCAGTGTCTGAAAACTCATTAACTAAAGTAACCACTTGATTGGTAAACATTTTCATGTAAAAGACTATACATTAGTGTAGAGGCGATGAGGAATAACTAATCGAAGAG